AAAATTTAATGAGAATCCACATCAACTATTTATTGTTGATAAGAACACAACATCTTTAAATAATTTAAACATATTCTTTCACTGCTTTCTACTGGACCCCTGGTAATGTTATATACAGTATTCATACTATATAAATATTTTTACAAGTATATATGGAAAGTAAAAAATGAGTTATGAAATGGCTGAATTACCTGATATTCGAAAACCACGCTTGAAACTGTTGAAGTAAATATTTAAACAAATCGCAAACATTAAACAATATAAAAAAAACACATATTTTTATATGCCTTAATGCCTAATGTACAGCACATAGATGATATTCAAGTTTTTTGTTGTTGTAAATACAGGATTTATTTTCGTCGAGTGGAATGAAAATAAATATTTCATGAGTGGAGGTAGCAACGAGTGAAATATGATATTTTTTATACCACAATATGAAAACAAATCCTGTATTTAATAACTATTAAACAACTTGAACTTGAATTTTCTGTTTATTATATACATTTTTGTATTTTCTGATCGCAGATCAGAAAATTCAATGCTGACATTCAATCTCTGAAACAGAATTTTCACGACAAACCTAACATTAAGTAGTTCTCAAAACAGCTCAAAACTAGCGATGTTAAAGAAAGAAATATTTTTATTTTGTTACAAGTATCAAACAAATTACAACGCATTCAAAGTTTAAAAGAAGCGTTGGCTTATAGAATTGTCAATTCACAAATTACGCGGATGAATATGAAAATGCTATTTTTAGCGATGTCGATTACCGAATACCTCAGAGCGTATTACACTGTCGAGTAGTGGAATATATACATGTAAGACTGTTTTAGGGAGAAGATTTTCGCTAAATTATTTACATCAATTTTAGACAGCAGGTATATCGTGAAGAAAATACCTCCAAATTAATAAGGATTACCATGGAGGTAAATATAAGATTTATATATCTGTGGGAATAGATATTCTAAAATTAGAATTATTTTATTTTATTCAGGCTGTTTCCGTTAAACATTTCCGTGGTGCAAGGGTAACGCGCTCGTTTCGGGTGTGAGAGGTCTGGGGTTCAAATCCCAGTCGAGGCAACTTTTTTTTATTAAGGAAGTAGCCACGATATGCAAGGATAAAAGGATAAAGTGCGGCTGTCAAAAACAATGAACATAAATGAATGTTGATGAAACTCTAGTCATGCATAATTCCGTATGTATCAAACTCAAACTGTTAAAGTAAAAAAATCCAAACGCAGTCGCTGCATCTCGGTGCCATGCAAGGTGAATTATAGTATATAAAAATAAACTTATACAGGAAAATACATACAGATATACAGTACGATTCAGATTGCAAAGATCAGAAAATACCACAGAGCTTGCAGCCCTTTCATTTAAAAATGTAACAAATCAAAAAGTATTTGCATCATTTACAATCTGTAATTTCCATCTCTTTTAGAAAGCTACTTGACAATTCATACAATGATTGATTGTATGTATAAACAAACATTGATAATCATTTAAACAGCTACTCGATAGGTCACACAATGATTATATGTATAAACAACACCGATGGTCTTTTAAAAGCTACTCGATATGTGACACAATGATTATATGTATAAACAACACCGATGGTCTTTTAAAAGCTACTCGATAGGTGACACAATGATTTAATGTACATGTATAAACAACATTGGTGGTCGTTTAAAAAGCTACTAGACAAGTGACACAATGATAATATGTCTAAACAACATACAATTTGATTGTCAAAGATACTTGACATGTGACACCAAATGACAATTTACTCGACAGGTGAAAAAGATAGTATGTATAAACAAAAGTGACAGGTTTTAAAAAGCTACTTGACAGATGTCAAAAAGGAAAGAAAAGAAAGAAATAAAAACAATATTAACAATATCAAGTTATCATCAGCGTCGGTAGCCACGGCTGAAATAAGATAATATTCTACACCATAGGACGATAACCAGTCCCTGTATTTACAGAAAAAAACAAGATAACTTTAGTATTTTTTATACGTTATAAGAAACAAGATCTTCGTCGTTGTCATCATTTTTAGTTTATTGTTTATATAGCACATTCTGCATTACAGGATGAAGAAATCGGTCAAAGGGAATTAACTTAATCACGTAACGATTCACTTGTTTGTGAACACAATATGTTTTTTTCTTTTTAAAAAATAGTGATAGGTCTTTTGGCCGCGACTGCATAAGACAGTCCTGGTTTTTGAATACTGCGTAGGGTCTGGATTGTTGTTTGAGGCATTCTAGAAACTATATGGCTGTTTAGATGTAGTTGAGTATATCCTTGGCTTTTGCTTAAATCCTGAGCATGTGTTTTATCCTTTTCCGGCCACGGAAGATGTAACCAATAGCGGTAGTTTTTTAATTGCAATTCACGTAAATGTTTCCTTCAAAAGACCACGCTTTTTCAACATTTGACTTGTCTTTTACACGACAGGATGCCAACATGTCCGCGTTCATTTTCGTCAAATCTTCGTTGACATAAATTCTTATTTCTTTCAGGTGTTTTGACCTGTTGAAAAGTTCGACTTTTGTTTTTGGCCCCCGTCTTACAATTTAACTATAATTTTGTCCTATGCTTGCCGACTTTGTATTTCCAAGTCCTTGGGCTGATGTCAATATCTGCATTCTGCAGAACAAGATCTGATTTGCTTTTTTATTGTGTCTTTATTTTTGCAATCGCCGTAATGCCAAAAGATTCGAACACCGTATTTCTGCGACTGTATGTTCGGACTCGTTTCATTTTCACAGCAAAAATTCAATCTTTTTTTAATTCTTTCGTATAGTGAACTGAATTCTTTTCTTTGAGTTCATTTATAATTAATCTTTTGTTCTAGTTTTTTCAATTGTCTGAGCTTGTGTATGGACGTCATGTTTCTACTCTCTTAGTCATTGCACTAAGGAACTTAGTAAAACTGGGTAAACACGGTTGATTGTCAATATTGGTCACTGGGTATCTAATTTCACTAGCCAGATTGAAGAGCGTTTCTTGCTTTCATTTGAGCTCATCATGATACATAAATTAATTTCAACATAAATCTTCGATAAATATATTAATATCACACTGTTCAACAAAAGCATATTAAAGCCAATAGCGGCTCAGTCATGCGGCGTGACCGCAAATTTTGTCAGGGACGGTAGACCCTCAGGCTATTTTTGCGCTCACAATTTGCTCACAAAAAGTCTCTCCACACATTCAATTTCTAAAAAGTTCAAGATAACCTCTTTATATTGCAACATTCAAATTCAAACTTACATATTTTAATAAAATTCCATATCCTTCATGAATGCAACAGTAACTCAATTATACGAATTTAACATTTACATCGCTATAAAAAATCGTGAAAGCCTTTAGCCAAAAACAACATTGTTTTTGTTTACATTTTAACCGGTAGTCACCACCTTTTAAACCGAAATAGAAAAAATATACCACCACATGATGGACAAAAAATTACTTCACATTGATGGACAAAAGATTACCTGACATTGATGGACAAAAGATTACATCACATGATGGACAAAAGATTACTTCACAATGATAGACAAAAGATAACCTCACAATGATAGACAAAAGATAACCCCACATCGATGGACAAAAGATTACTTCACATCGATGGACAAAAGATAACCCCACATCGATGGACAAAAGATAACCCAACATCGATGGACAAAAGATAACCCCACATCGTTGGACAAAAGATTACTTCACATCGATGGACAAAAGATAACCTCGCATCGATGGACAAAAGATTACTTCACATCGATGGACAAAAGATAACCCCACATCGATGGACAAAAGATAACCTCGCATCGAAGGACAAAAGAAAACCTCACTTTGATTTAGTATTACTTGATTTTATTCATGCTCTTCGTATATAACTTCTCCGTGGTGCAGGGGTAACGCGCTCGTTTAGAGTGTTAAAGGTCTGGGGTTCAAATCCCATGTAAGGCAACTATTTTTATATTTTTTTTAAAAGTTTCTTTGTTAAGGAAGTAGCCACGTTATGCTAGGATAAGTGTGGCTGTCATAAAAATGAACATAAATGATATTTTGATGCAACTCTAGTCATGCAAAATTCCGTATGTATCAAACTCTGGTGCCCTGCAAGAAGAATTATAGTACATAAAAATAAACTTATACAGGAAAATAATACAGATATACAGTGCGATTTAGATTGCAAAGATCAGAAAATACCACAGAGCTTGCAGCCCTTTGATTCTCTTTTTTGACATTACAATCTGAAAGACTTCCCCATAAATTTTGTGTATTGGCTGAATTTAGAAGAAAGTAGTCCGGCAAGTCACCAGTGAAAAAATGGAAAATATGTTTCACTGCAGTAAAACATAAATTTTAACAGTGAAAATACGGACAATGAAAATACGCATTTTATTTCATCAATTTTTCTCAATATTGTCATAGTATATAATAAAAGTATATATATTGCCTGATTTATCTTTGCAGGGCTGCTACACGAGGATGACGTCTCCACGTATTAACATACTGAACGCTACTCACATAGTAAATAGAAGACACAGACCGCTACTCACGTAGTAAATAGAAGACACTGACCGCTACTCATAAATATAATTAATTTTATTTAATGGCATGAAAATGTCACAGTCAATCATTTTCGCACGGATGTTTCTAAATGGATATTTCTTAAATTCTTCATTAACAGCCATTTCCATATTTATGTGATTTTAAAGCCGGTGCTTACATTTTGCCCATTAACAAACCCGACAAAACCAAGCCTATTTTCCCCGATTAAATTAAATGCCACTACATTAACAAATCATATGCGTTTTATCAAATTAATACTGTAACGTACTTTTGCCGCAGTGTCAGGATAGCTGTTTCAAAAATACGCCACAAGTTCTACTGTATAAACATATATGCTAACTTAGATACAGCACCGGGTTTCAATGTTATATTAGTGGATTCTTTTCTTTAGGATTTCCGAAAATAATACAACGCTTTCATCAAGTTTCAATACTTTGGTTTAATACAGTATGCATCAGTTCTGTATACATAAACTACATATATATACTAATATTTAATATATCTTATTATCAATATACAGAAATAGTTTTCAGTATCATTTCATAAGGCGCTATGTTAAGTGATTTTAGGATTTCCTAAAATAAAAGTTGACAACGCTTTAATCAAGTTTGGATTTTTTGGTTTAATCGTTTAATTTAGGATTAAAAGTTATAACATGAAGTACGTCAGCTCTCATTCGGGGAAAGTTGCTTAGTAAATGTTTAATACATATTCCAATGTGATTGAGGAGTCTTTCCTAAATAGAAACTTACTAAAATTCTGTTTTGATGCTTTCTGCTCAATTTTAAATTATCGCGCCCTAGCAACTTTAGTGGGCGTTGTTGTTCCAAAATGAGGACTGTCGCTCTATTTATAACCTTTGAGTCGTTTAGGAATTTAGGAAAGGATTCCCGACCAATCAGATTGCACTTAGGATTTATCTAAGCCAATCAGAATCGGTTAGGAATTCCCATCCTAAAATGAGTAAACAGCTCAACAGATCATAATTACAAAATACAAAGTAAACATATAAAGTTGTAAGTAATCATTATGTTGAGAAATAACACTTATACTATTAAATGCATTTCAATTAAATACTTATGGTAATTTGGCAGGATTATTACAATTTAAAGAGAATTAGGGTGATTCCACAACCTAACTTTACTACGCGAATGACCGAACAAATAGTGCGGTCTTGTTTTACAAAAATAAACTATTACAGTAAATCTCTTGAACAATTTGAGAAGCAAACATTATAATCACATTATACAAAATACATGTTACACAATAAAGTCAAATATGCCTCATTTCAAAACAAACTACAGATATGGGTACGCAGGTACCTAAAACAAAGATGGCAGCCTCCACGAACATTTTGGGAAAGTTTTAGGAATTATTATTTTGACAAAAATAAATTGATTAGAGCATGTTTCACTAACCATTACTGATTATAACATCAAAACATATGGATACTACAAAAATGTGGAGTAACAGACATGTTAATCTTGGAATTAAGAAATAATCCAATATTATACAATGTTTATTATTAGAATGCTGAAAACAATATAATTACTTTACTGTCCTTATTTGAATAGGATTATTGTGTATATAGTACTTACATGCTAAAAGTTTCAATAAGTAATTATTTAATAAATAAATAATGATTCTAAAAATAGAATATTTCAGAAACAATAACAAGCTTACATGTCTTACAATACTAATTTAAAAATTCTTGCAAGTAGAGAATTTCTTTATAGTTATGTTACATATCTTGAATTTGGCTTACACAGTTTCTCTCACAATGTAAAATGATTCATGTTTCTCTATATTATCACATCGTTAAATTATTAATTTGACATACAGTCGAACCTGTAACACTCGACACCGGCTTCTACCATTGTGTCGAAAAATATATAAGTTTAGCAGAAAGATTCCTCCACAGTAATGAAGAAAAAAAACAAAGAAAATAATAATGAGACAGAGATGATTGAAAGAAAATGTGGTTACAGATGGTTAAGCATTTGAGCTTCCCGTAGCTTAGCATAAAATGTAAGAGTTTGGTCAACAAAAAAGCAGCAATCCCATAGCATCCAACGCAATACAAATCCGCAAAGAACCACTAGAAAGGCACCTTGTGTGATACCCAACTTGGATGGGCAAAGGTTTGGGGAAGAAACTGAAAAAAACGTCAAGAGCAATGAAATCAAAGATCACATAAATAGAATAAAAACGAAATCTTAGAATCAGATGAATGTTTTATTAAGTTATTGTTGAGTTAATGTTTAATGGGTACTACAGGAATATTGAGTTTTGCTGCGATAACAGCATTCGTCCAAAACCTGCATGTTCACACAAACTTAAAGGAAAACATGTCGAGATCTTTTGTTTCCTCGTCCCACCATTTATCAATATATTCGTTTTGTGCAACAGTTAGCCGGTTCTTCCAGTTTCCAATTCCACCTGAAACAATAGAAAGATGCCAATTTAAGACTTGTTATGTTAAGATATTGTCCTTTGAAAATATATCCAAAAAATGTAACACCTTCACCAAGAAGTCTTATCTAAAGTTGTCCTGATTTTCCAGTGCATAAAAAATGATACTGTAAGCATCGTAGTAAATCACAGTGCATGTTAAACAATCAGGGGCTTTAGAATTAACCCTTACAGTAACCGGCTGAATTTCCTACGTGGAAAAGTTCAAATCATTTTTTTGGGAAATCGAAATGAAAATTTAAGTTACTCAGCCGACAGTCAAGGGTCTGGTCAGAATGCATGGATGTGCAGGCTTGACCCGCTCTTTACTGGCATAGGGTTATCGTCCACGTTAGGTTAGAGTTAAATAATGATATTGATGATTTTATTATATAATGTCCAAAATAATCTTGTTGTATGTTAACTTTTTGATGTTATTACTTCCATATGGAACATTTTTTGTAACAAAAATTGCCCACTTTAAGTACAAAGTATGTCCATAACGTTACAGAATCTTATAATTCTAGATCTAGTTTTAATATATTCTATTTTTATATTATAAATCATTTCATTCTTATTCCTTTTGCATACAACTTGTCTCGTGTATTTATTTTATTTAATATCTAGTATATATTCGACTATACCAGGAACATGGCTTTCAGTTTTCACTGGTATAAAGCCTTTTACACATGAGACTGATTTTCAAACTGAAACTATCCCACACAGTGCATACATTTTCATATGCTATTCAAACAATATAAATTGGTTCTTGTTACCTTTTCTAAACATGTTAAAGTCAGCATTCAGTGCAGTTTTTTGTACCTGTCTCATTTCGTCAGTCATTTTTTCATCTTTTACTTGTCTCATTTTATCTATTTGGCAACTTTCAACGATTTGTCGCAGTAAATCAGAGCTCACTTCTTTGCCAAGAAATTCGCAAACCTTCTTCATTTCCCCAAAACAATCCTGAAAGCAAAAGTTAAAAGTAATGAACTTTTGGATTCTTGAATAGGTATTTGAAGCACTTTTATAGTGTATATATGAAATTAACTCTAATTACTTTAATTTTTTCAGCATTTCAACGAGACAAAAAACACAACACTTTATGTAAAAGAAGAAACTATAATTTAATATTACTATTATAATGATACATGTTGTCTTTGAATCGCGAACAGGTCTTCATAAAATAATTTCACCAATTATAAATCATATTTACCGCTATAAGGTCTTCATAATATACAACATGGACCGGAAAATCCGGATTTTCTTTAATAAAGGTCTGCCATTCCCGCAAATATTCGGGATATGACCCGTAATCAACTGAAATATATTATGGATGATGAAAAAATAAAACTAAGTACCATCAACTGAAATACATAACAAAATCAACGTTTAAAAGCAAAAGAATATATTTTTAAACATATTAATGTAATCGAAATATCATTACTGTAACAGTTTTAGTGACTGTCACAGATGTTTTATTTTAAATCAATGAAATATTGAAGATAAGATAGACATGAGCATTGAAATTCATATAAAAGAGTTAAAGATGTAATCAATAATCCCGGAGGACCAGAAGAATGTAACAATGCGGTTGATAAAATAAAATGCATACAAAATTTTGAATGCTCCGACACATCACATCCATTAAAAGTTAATTTTTTGGATTGAATATTATTTTTGTGATGTCGCTATTAATAATAATGATCCCTCGACTTGGAGCTGGTGTTTAAGGATACACGAAGCAGTTCATGTTAATAAATTGCTTTGACAAATACCTCCTCCACTCTGAAATAATCGTAAAAAGTTTTCAAATTTCCCATCATATTCGTAAAATTTGATTCCTTTAAGGTGATGGTACAAAGACACTGCAACATCTTTTGGATTTCTCAGTAACAAAAACATTTTCAGTCTCTTCTTTATGATGTCCTGAAAGATCAAGGAAGGAAGCAATATAGAGTATAAATTTGACGTCATACAGTATAAATTTCACGCATCCTGTTCTTTAAAACTCTTTAGTTATGTCTTAATTTCAATAAAAGTTTCAATAAATTGCATACATATTAAAAACACTTGATCATTCCTTAACACGACAATACATAAAACTTGTGACGTCCTACATGTATACCTATGCACGTCATTGTCTGGAATTAAATCACTCTGAAACAAACTTTTTTCTCTGACGACCTGCATATAAAACAGTACTTTATTACTTTGTTTACTTGAGGTCTGTATTTAGTTTTTCTAATTGTTTGTTTGTTCGGTTTGGTTTTACGGTGTACCAACACAACTTGGGTCATATGGCGCCAAAATAGGAAAAATGATTTTGGCTAACCTCGGGTGTCACAAACTGATAAGCAACCCCGTGGGTCAAAACCACTTCGCCTATTGGAGCTAAAATATGTATATACTCAAGTAATTCAAACCCATGTTCTTACGACACTCCAAGAGTAAACTGTCTGTCTTACTGGTGCCCCAATCCGTCAAGGCAACCCCTAAGCCACAAGGGGGAAGTTTGTTTTGTTCTCACTTGATCAAAGATATATCGGCTTCGGACTATTGATTTTGGTCAATATAAATTTTCCTCAGGTCCGAAAACTATAAAATATAGACCTCCAAATAATTGTATAATTCTATAATGTATATCATGGTGTAACATAGAACCAAATGAGAATAGCCCCTTGTTATTATATTAATTTTATTAAACAATTTTGTATAAGCTATTAACTTATAATGTAAAATTTTAGCAATGCAAAACACCAAATGCATGTATCTTACCTTTGGCAGATATTTTATTTTCAAGTGTGTATTTAAAACTCTTGGAGAAGGTAAATTCTCTACAACTTCCGTCGGAAAAGCTTCAATCATCTCACGAAGTTTATTTGCATTTGACACTTCTGCCGTTTGTTTAATTACCATCTGAAGCATTTCCCATAGCCAATGTGTTCCTGAACAAGATACAACGTAACTTATGATTATCTGCGTTATGTTTATTAAATCAAATCTCCGCGTTACGTGTATCAAAATTGCTTCCGTGCTATTATGTGTATTAAATTCTTAAATGTGCATTATTATATTTACATTTATGCAAAACATTATGTATATTTGGAATAAAATACAGAGATAAAAGGACCATATTAAAATTAAAGAACATATCTATGGGAGATTTATAAAAAGATATTTCAAACTCTATTGTCATCTTTTTCAGATGTAACATTAAAAGGGAATTGAAATGGCATCAATGAAAACTCGCCTTGATATTTGGTCTGGTAATAATTAATCTGGTTACAAAATATTAACAGGAAAACCTTGCAATTCAGAATTGTTATCGAATTAACTGAACGACCATATACTTTTGATGTTTCCCAGACCATCAGTTGAACAAATTAATTCACAGAAAAGCTATAATTGTGAAACTTTCAAAATGTTATAAAAAATCATGCGACAAAAATGAACTATAAAACAATATAATTGAAGACATGCGATGCTTTTCAATGTTTTGCAGACTAGCAAACAATTGTTGTTTTAATTATATTTCTAATGAAGCTATATCCACGGCAAGAATAAGCTACATTTATGCTTTTAAGTCAGTTATTCTCAAATCGGACCATCTCGGCTATTATTCATAGTAACTTGTCCGAAGTTTGACGGAAATAGCCGAAAAAAGATGGATTGATTTATTCCCATTAAGAAAATACAATAAACCAGACTGAGCTTAAATATATACATACAGCACAACTGTTTATACTTTATGGTTTAAGTTTAACAAATATGTTCCACAAAGGACGGCAACGTCCATGGTAGCCATGCGCCCAATCACGCATCATCACCGGGCAGACATGCAGTTGGGCACCGATCAAAAATCGAGGGCCAAGTTAACAATTTCAATATATGTACCTGTTTTTGGATATGAGTTGAGAATAATGTCATCATCATGGCATTTTATGTTTGGGATATTGTTAAAACTTTCCTGATGTTGTTCAAACGTAAAACTAAAAGTACATTGTCTGTATCCATTTTCCTCATCCACAACGTCAACTAACAAAGTGTCACCACCAGCTACGTCTTCAAACTTTTGTCTCGGCATATTATTAAAACACTGAGAAATAAAATGGTTATAATTTAAGGTTGTCTATGTGCTGCTTCTTTGATTTAAGTAATTGACTTGAAATATCTCTAAAACAAAAACAAAAATCGAAATAAGCTTCGTGGCCGAGTTGTTGAAGTCCTTGAACTTAAATCGTTTGTATTTTGTCGCCAAAAGTTCCTAGAGTGTGAGTAAGCTACCAAGTGAGATGTCTGAAATTATGCAGAAAAGAGAGCTGATGTCTTTTCTCTATATACCAATTGAGCTGTAAAGTAGATGTAAAGATATAATCTTTTTCGGACTTCAGATGCTATTTCTTCTTTTAATTGTCTATGTGACTTAATATCCAAGCAAAAATTTTTTAAGTATTTACTTATTACATTGTTTAGAAATTGAAATGGCTCGAATAGGCTCGAAATTTGTCAACAATTTGAACGTGAAGCATAATTGTTTTGTACAGCGTTCGAACTTACTATGCGTATGAGACAGTAAGTAATGTTTTTTTATAATCATTGAGATTTCTCCATTATGTGTCAAAAGTGATGATTGATCGGTATCACAATACTGTATAAATGTCGTTGTTTTTCCTACATTTGTAAAAATGTTTTCACAATCATGCATTCGATATTACATGTATGAGTTAATGACATCAAAAATGCGACTTCAAATACTGTATGTAATTTAAAGCAAATAAAATGACTCACCGGAAATGTATTTTACAACTTCTTTAACAGTCTGTTCGATCACTATTTCCCGAGCTCATTCCCGGGTCCTATCTTTATAAAGCTGAGTGTAATCTATATATAATGAAATGATCGATTCTATAGCAAATCATGTAAATATATACACGACGACGTCTCATTCTTGACAAATATGTTTAGAAAAGCAGACGATATTGGAAAAAGTTTCAATATTCCTTTGTCGTTCAGTCATTCGGAACTGCCTCGGCTGTTATCTATAATATATATATATATAATATAAAGTAGTTCTACCACGTGATTTCAGATGAGATAATGTAAAACGAATGTATACATTTGACATCTAATGTCCCTTCCGGTACTCTTATGCTACATATATTGGAACTAACTTGTCAACAACTCCCAGCATTAAATTACTATTTATTTACATGTTTATTTTGGGGTTTATTTTCTTAGCGTAGGTTAGACCTGAATTCCACATCCGTTCTGTGTATTCATACTATTGTGTTCGAGGTCCTTATCCGAAGACTGACGGAAAGGGCCGAGTAGTTGCGATTGGTCGTTCAGTTTTTTTAAACTGCTTACTAGTGTAATTTGATACGACAGCATCGCTTATACAACGAAACCTACACACAGTTCCTTCATTATTTTTTTTTTTTTAAAAAACATCTCAATAAATGAGTCTATTTTCAGTGTATTGCAATATATCTGTTCCCTATACCAATAAATAAACGATAATTAAAGTTATCGCACGTTTAGCTTTACAAATTTGTTCAAGCGAAAATGCGAATCTTCAGTGTACGAGAATAATAATTAATGTTATGTTGGTCGAAAAATAAATGCATGTATATTTCTTAATTAAAAGAAACAAAAATACAATCAATCGTGCACGGTATCCCTCAAACTCGTACTGCAAATTATTTACTAGGTTCGCCTCCTGTTTGATCGATCATGGCAGCCAGCAGACGACAGGGCATATCGATCGATGTGTAGAGAGGATCAAAAATTGTTAAGAATACGAAATTCGATTAAATGGGTCACATTAAGAAATTCAATTGTTCTTTAACTAAAATTATAATTATAGAAATAAGATAAAATAATAAAAAAATGCAATTTAGCGGAGCATTCCTGAGTATACCACTCTTATTGGTACAGGCCTGGTGGCTTGTCGGAAACAAATCGATTATCATCGTGTAAACATCATGTTAGAACTCTGATAAAGTACGTATGCGTGTTCCGCGTCTACACCTTTCCAAGTCATGAATGCAAGTATCATATTCTCTTGTATTGGATAATGAAGACACCCTTCTTGAATGGTTTTTAAACAGAAATTATGTGACATCCATGAAGATATTTTTTTTTTGCAAAAGAAATAGAACACGTTCTATTTTGCTACAGATTTTTGGCTGTCAAGACACTGATATATATCACCGGTTTGACACAAAGCATCTGCCCCGATGGTGTGATATTGTTGTTATTTACACTTTTTTTAAACTTTTTGTTGTTGATTCAGTGTACTTGACCTGTGAATTTCAATAAATGTTTACAATGCATTGGTCAAAGGAACAAATCGATACACTGATACGCAGAAGAGCAAAAAAAATATGTTTATCAAAAGTATATAAAGTATAATCTATAGATTTTAAATTATCTTGTTCATTTAATGAAAAACTTTCATCAAATAAAAAATTGCTTTAATTTAAAATCTCAAACTATTTTTATTCACATTTTCTATTTTGCACAATTTATTTGCTCTATTGTTTTTTTTTATCTTATTACATCATTTTCCCGCCTTTTTATTCACATTTTATAGAAACATAATAGCATTGTTAGGACAAAGATATATATTTCCTTTGGCAATCTTAATAAGATATTTCAGTAAAAATTGTGCCTGATTATGTGTGGTAAAGACCATTTATTTAGCTGACATGTAAGAAACTTGAATCGGTGTAGACGTGGCCTTAGGCTTTAATACGGAAATATCAATGTTTTTAGTTGGGACGTAGTCCCAACTAGTGCACTTACAAACCCGAAATTTCCAACCATACAGGGTAACGCCCACTGCTGTGACGTTTCATCGCCACTCTAAATGCTATATTGTATTCTAACATATCAACGTAAGCTGAATTCATAGTGATCACCCGACCATGACCGACGCATAACCGCCGCGAGTGAAAAATAGTGCTCTGAATTTCTGAAAACTTCGATTTATTGCGAACAGAAGTGGAGTCAAGAAATTTATTTTTTGAAAATAATGTGCAATTGAGCTTGAATTACGGTATTAGAAACGTAGCGGATATAATTTGAAAGGTCACATAATTCTATGAATGGGATAGTAAATTAATTGGGTCATAGTGCTTGACCGCTTGCAATATTTAACTTACTCATCCGCCTTATCATCACATTTTTTTGTATTATATTCCAGAATTTTTGAAAAAGACATTATTTATCGGATAAATTTTGTAGTTTATAATTGCAAAGTGGATATTGAAATAGAATTAGCCAGAGATGTAGATAATCTATTCGTCTCTGAATTAGCCGATAATTAGGTTAAATGAATCCGACAACTTCCGGTATATTTTTCGACCTACTTCACGAGCATAATTATCAGCCTGTTAAGCTCATAAGGTATGTTATAAAGCAAAATATGTTATGAATTTGATGACTAATAATATTAAGTTTATTTATTGATGCCAATTTGTTTCCAAGGACTAAAACTTTCGTAAATAATTTCGAAGTAATTTGGAGATCTCGAGTCTTTCGTACCCAAGACATTTCGATCATACATAGACTGCAAAACCGACAGATTTTACAAATTGATATTACACAGATGTCTGCCTTTACAGGAAAACCGGCATATACGCCTACAATTTTTTGGTCTTGTCACGGCCTAGTCCTATAACATAAGACGTTTCCGTTCATACTGTATGAACGGAAACGTCTTATGTTATAGGACTAGTCACGGCCGTTACAACAATCTCTACCATCTCTACCAAATGGGGCACATTCTTGAATATTTCAGAATAATTTTATTTTGACCTTTATAAATTATTATATATATCCTCAAGGTACTTTATACCGGGAGGTACTTTGTACCGGGAATGTCCAGATATTACAAACAATACTTACATAAAAAAATTCTTTTGTATGCAAGTGTTTTTCACATTAATTTCATACAAAATATAGCATTTTTTGAAGAAAATTCAAAGTTTTAATAACCCTATTCACATAAATGTGTTTTACGTATAAAAACCAGTAATATTGCTAACAATTTGGACCCATCATGATATTTTGAATGTGTGTGCAAATGCTTATCAAATTATTACCCTTTTACTGTGTGATGACTGATAAATATTGAATAGAACTTTAGTATCATTAACAGCAATGGACCATTTACATATGTTTTTAACTTTTTATTGATTGCTTAAAAGTCATTCCTGGTATTAAGTACTTAAAAACAAAAATGGCTGCCACTCATAAGAGGTTATTAACAGAACTATCTTTTTGATGTATAGTTAAAATTTCTTTTAGATATTTGTTATTTTCATCAAAAAATGGTACCTCCTACAGAAAATAACTATTTTGTATTAGATTTTTTTTGTATTATCTGACGGTGGGCCAAATAAGGCTTACACTCCTGGTAGATAGTACAACCAGGATATCTATTTAAAGTCTAGCCATTTCATTTTGGGTCATCTTTTTACAATTTGAATAATTATTCTGGAAAAACGAAGTGCGCAAATGATCTAAAGGTTTGTACAAAGATTAGTGTTCTAAACATTCATCAAACGGTACATTTATCTGGAAAAGATATTTCAGTCCCATCATGACAAAATACCTCAATGGAACCCCTTTAAATTGAGTAACACTTTTTTTAAATGTATGGGTAAATTCCATTTTCAGTGGTTGAAATTTTTCCTCTTTTCTGATTAATCAAGCTATAGTTTCCCATTTATAAAGCCACAGGTTGTTTTGAAAGTTGAAAAAAAAAAATCACTGCCACCTTGATAATTGTTAACCTGAAAAATCTTCAGGCACTTAAAGGGATATAAACCCCAGACCTCTTGATTACAAGGCAGACACACAACCATGTCGCGAAAATGTCAACACAACAGCAAGACTGTTGGAAATGATCTATACCTGTTCTCAATACATGGTTGAAGTAATTTATCAGTGTTAATTAGACATTTTATATGATTTAACAATTTTTGACACTACTGATATTCACATTTTTTTCACAAATCTACATGTAAAAAAAAGATATCATAATAAATGATAGAACATTTTCTATTTTAGTGGTAATACTGTGGAGTGATATGAAGAAATATTATTAATATTTTATTATCATAAATTTTTCAAATTTTAATTATGTCATTACATGCTGTACACAATCATATTATAGTGTAAACATATATATACATTGTATAGACACATATATACATTGTATATACCAGAGACGTTAAAATACATAAAATGTATTTATATGTCTCTGTATATACACACACTAAGAGAGTAGTATTGGATGTTTTTTTGAAAATGAAATCTCTAAATTGATATTTTCAGGGAAATAAAAGATTATTTACTTTAAAATTCACTTGGAAAGGCTGGTACATGTAGCTAGAAAAAAGTACAGTATAAGATTAAAGAAAGACTAGAAGATTATTACAAACAACAGGTACTTATATAATATTTAATGTATATTTCACCAACCAAACTGTTTTCAAAAAAAAAATAATGAAAACATGCATTTTTACCAGTGTCACCACGGGTCAGATTAACAGACCCATTCCCAGTGGCAAATAATGCCAAATATGCTTTTTTTCTTTTCCAAGTTTAGAAAAAAATCATAAGTCAAAATTCCCGTTATCAAAGCTGACAATTTTTCTTCATTCCATTTCAATCCAATATGGTACCAGACAGATGATGTTCAAAAACACATTCCATTGTCAATTTTTTATGTATTTTTTATGCTTTGAATGATATACAATTTGTTGGATTAACAACTTTGTACATGGTACTAAATATTTTTCCCAATCAAGATGCAAAATTTCTTAACCCATTACTTCATGAGCATTTTGTGAAAAATGGCTGTTTTCATTGAAAAGTCTCCCGTTACAAGTTCAAATTGCTATAATACTATAAAAACTGCTTCAACACTAATCAAACTTGGCACAAATGTTGACTGGACCATTGCCCTTGCAACAACATGCTCAGGCTTAAATTTTCTGTTACAATGGCAACGAGGGGACATCTCAAAATTGCCCAAAATCACTATTTTGCCTCGATTTTTTCAATCAAAATTGATTTCAAAGTGATGCCACTTCTCAATGGATTGAGATATAGTCAAATGCTTTTCAGCGTTGGTTACACGTTTGGTTATGAAGTTATGATCAATCTGGGGTCATTTACAGCCTCTCACAAGTCCAAAATTTTCTTGGCATCATGCTTAGAATGGTTTCACACAGGTCAGTAAGACCGGTGTACACAATGTACTGTCTGCACATGTGTCAGAAAAAATATCACAAAAAAGGAATTTAGTATTACTATGAGTATTTATTAAAGAAATTGTTTTTCAAATATATTTAAATAGTATTATTGAAAGTCATTTTGTATGACAGACACACAAATCTAGTGCTCTGCATTATTAATGTAAGAAGAGACAAATAAGATAAGCATTTTTTGCAAATTATTGCACTTCATATAATTTTTATTGCTTTTTTTTAAGGTGGACATGTGTCACTGTCAAGCGAATGAAGATAAGCATCACACTCGGTGGGAATCTCCAGTTTCCATATGTAATGATCATAACTGTATAGGCACCATTAACACTTTGGACTAGTTGGAGTATTTAAGAGGGCTAGTCTGAATTGAATCCCCTGTCAATAGTAAAGGCCAGTCATGAACATTGTGTTGAAGGAAAATGTTAAAACTCGGATTTTCGGCTTAACCAATCATTACTTTACCTTATATTCAGTGCGGTAATGTAGGAAATGGTTACTTTCTGGAACAGAGCTGTCAATTATTTTTAATTTTTTAGCTTGTTAGTGTTATCGTCGGACAGTTGTGAAGTAAAGACATTGCAGTTTGAGTGTATACAAGTTGCCTTAAAGAAAGTATGTCGAAATCTTAACAGTTATTCGTTGATTTTGTAGAAATTGACCAGAATTCACCTTTGTTTACACGCATCGCTTGGACGTCGAAAACGACATGCAATGACATTTCAGTGAAATTTGGAAACTTGCTCGTATTTTGGAGCATTTTGTAGGATTTCGATGAAGTAAAAAGTGTTTATGATAGGATACATTATTCCTAGAGACAACCACAAAGATAAAATAGTGATCTGGTGTATTTTTACCGAACAGTTCTTGTTTGTTTTGCATGATATTTTTCTCTCGTTAGGGACCTTTATTCTTTATATATAGTATTATGAGCGTATATGGGTAAATGTGGTATATAGTGCCTGTGGTTTTAACATGTATCTTAGCTTGCCTGGTGTAATGATAAGTAATAAACCTGAGAATTGAAAGAGATTTAGCATGTTATTATAATTTATGCTCCTGAAAGGGAGAGAATATAGTTGCGGTCTTAACCATCTGTCGGTATGGACTCAAGTAATATTCTGGATAAATATCTGTGTTCATTCCATACAGACTTGTACTTTTGGGGAAAAAGGTTGCTCATGGGAGGAAAATATGTTTTTAATGGTGTTTTTGAGATTTTAGTTGATAAAGGAAAAAAAACATAGTCTGTACTTAGGAAGACATTTGTCCTTCACACTCTTGTCCGAAATATGAATATAACTAGATATGTATTGAAGGGATTTTATGTAAACTTCACAAAGTGATAGAGACTTTTAAGAGGAAGTGCAATGTTCAAGAAACATAACTCTACCTTGCTTCATGTTTTAATTATATCCCTTAAGTTAAAAATGCTTATTCCAAACTATCACTGAATCTACATCAACTTGAACGACTCGAATTTTCCAATGTGTCAAAGAACCATAACTCCATTCCTTAGTTTTTAGCTCACCTGTCACAAAGTGACAGGTCAAGCTTTTGTGATCCCTTTTCGTCCGGCCGTAAACTTTTACTTTAAATGACATCTCCTCATAAACCACTACGCTAATTTCATCCAAAACTTCACAAGAATGTACCTTTGGCTGTCACCTTTAAAAATTGTGCAAAGAATTTAATTCCATGCTGAACTCTGGTTGCCATGGGAACCGAAAGAAAAAAACTTTAAATATCATCTTTAAAAAAACCCTAAGAGCTAGAGCTTAGATATTTGGCTTGAAACATCCTTTAGTGAGTGTCTACCAAGTTTTTTAAATAAAAGCCCTGGGGTCAAAATTGGCCCGCCCCAGGGGTCATTGATTTTCCCTATGTGCATATAGTAAAAACTTTATAAAATCTTCTTTTAAAGAACCCAAAGAGCTAGAGCTAAGATATTAAGCATGAAACATCATCTAATGAGTGTTTACCAAGTTTGTTCAAATAAAAGGCCCGGGGTCAAAATTGGTCCTGCCCCAGGGGGTCATTAATTTTCTTTAAATGCATATAGTAAAAACTTAAAAAAATCTTCTTTTAAAGAACTAAAAGAGCTAGAGCTAAGATATTTAGCATGAAATATCTTCTAGTGAGTGTTTACAAAGATTGTTAAAATAAAAGCCCTGTGGTCAAAATTGGTCCTGCCCCAGGAGGTCATTAATTTTCTTTAAATGCAAATAGTAAAAACTTAAAAATCTTCTTTTAAAGAACCCAAAGAGCTAGAGCTAAGATATTTAGCATGAACATCTTCTAATGAGTGTCTACCAAGTTTGTTCAAATTAAAGCCCCGGGGTCAAAATTGGCCCTGCCCCAGGGGATCATTGATTTTCCCTATATGCATATAGTAAAAATTTCAAAAATCTTTTTTAATGAACCCAAATAGCTAGAGTTTATATTATAAGTTGAAACATCTTCTAGTGAGTGTCTACAAAGTTTGTTCAAATAAAAGCCCTGGGGTCAAAACTGGCCCTGCGCCAGGGTTGTCATTGTTTTTAACAGTATGTGTTAGTAAAAACTTAAAAAATCTTCTTTAAAAAAACCCAATAAACTAGAGCTTTGATGTTTAGCATGAATCATCTTCTTATGGATTCTTCCAAGTTTGTTCAAATAAAAGCCCGTGGATTAAAACTGGCCCTGCAGGGTGGGGGGGGGGGTATATACAGGTGAGCAACCTCAGAGCCTTCATGGCCCTCTTATTTAATTATCTACCTTTATTATACATGTACTTAATTATGCTTGTCCAGAGAAATACTGGAAAAGAGTTGATGAAATTTGATTAAACTTTTACACAGCGAAAATAATCAAGTGAAGGAAAGTGTTTTTTCAAAGAACCCTAATTTTTGTGTCGCCTTGAAAAGGTGACATAATAGGGGTTACTTTTGTCGGCGGCGTCTGTGTCGTTGTCGGCGTCCCCTAAAGCTTGTCCAGAGCATAACTCAGTCACTATAAGTCTGATTGACTTCAAACTTGGTATGCATGCTTCTTTTAATAACCCGAAGTGCAGTGCACAAGGACCGGTACTCTGCAGTTCTTATTTTTTGAGTATTGCCCTTTGTGTGTTAATTTTGATACTTTAATTTTGTCCGGGCCATTTCTCTTCAACAAAAAAAGCTATGGACTTGATACTTCATAGGATGATAGATCTCATTAAGAAAAAGTGCAGTGCACAAGAACCAGTACACTGTACTTCCTAATTTTTGAGTTATTGCCCTTTGTTAATTTTCATATTTTATTTTTGTCCGGGCCATATGGGTAGATGGCAGTCTTGAGATTATGCACGTCTTTTTCTTTTCTTTCTATGTTGAAAATTCTGGTTGCTATGGCAACACATAGACTGAAAATATGGCAAATTTTACACATAAATTAAATCCAGTGATAACTCAAAAAGTACTGGAAATATTTTTATGAAACTTGACATATGGGTAGATGGCAGTCTTGAGGTTATGCATGTCTTATCTGTTCTTCCTATATTGAAAAAATATCAGTTGCCTTGGCAACAAATAGGCTTAAAACATGGCAAATATAACAATATTTGTGATTAGTCAAAAAGAGCTGAAAATTTTTTATGAAATTGCATCTTTAATACAAGAGTTATCTCCTGTTTAAGAATTTTGCTTTTAAAATGTTATATTTTGGTAACAGGGATGTTTCAAATATTAACTTTAGAGTGTCCTTCAGTCCGTCTGTCTGTCTGTTCATAAAAACTGTTTCCTGTGATCACTTTTAAAGCAACTTTTTTACAACAACTTTTAAAATAATGATTGTCTGGAGTTAATCTTTTCAATGATATCACACTCAAACTAAATACAGTTGTAGAGACTAGTGAGCAGAAGTCTTGTGTCAAATAACCAAAATTCTACATTACTTAGTTTTTGAATTATCTCCGTATATATTTCATGATACTGTTCTGAGAGAGGATTAAAATATTGAAGGAATTTGATTGAAACTTTATAAACGTTATACAGTGAAAGAGATTAGCATGAGAATTGCAGTAAACAAAGGCCATTATAAGTTCTAATGACATGGTCACATTCATATAATGTGATGCAAAAAATATTGACCATTTGAGTGTTTACTTGATACTGATACAAAAAATTTGATATATATCACAATTGATTATTTTTTCATAGCTTTGTCTCCCTTTATAATGTCATGTGTTAAAATAGTCAAGCTTGCAGTTTCCTCTGGTAGCTCTAATTTCACTTGTTGCTCTTGTCAAAAAAGGCCAATAACGGTTTATGATCGACCTACACGTACATGTAACCTAAATATTATATTTGAACATGTGTGCCATAGAATAATTGTATCAACTACTGTTCATTTACTGAATTGTGCACTTTATATTTATCAACCGGCAACAACCTTCACTCATTGAATTATCTGCCCCGAAATAGAAAAAATAGTTATTTGATCCTTCATACGTCCCAACTGCAGTGCCTTCAGCACTTTGATTTACACTTGAACTATCACACATAGATAATAGAGGCTTTTTTTTAAAAGTAGCGGATCTACGGATTCATAAAAAAGGTAGATTTTTCTAATTTATTTTAAGTATTCAACTGATATTTTATGCATACATTACTGCTATAACTATCTATTAAAATATAATTAAACAAATGTACTTTTTTTGATAAACTGATAATGTGTGCTATTTTGCGTTAACTTTATAAACTTGCGTATTTCCGACTAACCAGACATTACTGCTAAGCGTATATCTTGCTCTAGATCTACTGTAAAATTATATGAGTATGAAATCCGTAATGTATACTGAAGAAAAAGTAACTTTCAATTCAAAATAAAAACTAACCCAATATGGCCGACTTCGCATCAAGCGCGTAGCGTAGAGAGTGGTACGTGAGCATTATTTTGAGGCGATTATCAGACTTAGATGATGATAGATGTAAGGCCTATAACCTATAATTTTATATTAAATTTGTGGTGGCGATTTTTTACTGATGATCTATTGATCCGTATTTTACAACATGCCTGATTTATCCAGTGGAGATCCAAACACATCTAAATCCAAATAAAACAGCACATACATGTATTAGTCTCAATTTTTCGACAGCATTGAAGACTGATATGATACAATTTGCTACAATTTGTTGGGTGAATACACTTATATACTCAACATCACTAATTCCGTGTCATCACTTATTTCACGGTAATGGCATATTTTCATGAGACAAGGGTAAAAATTGGTCAGAATTGACATATTTTATTCATACACCTAAACAACAGAGTTTTTGTGTAAAATATTGTAAATCTATATTTTTACGTAAAACAGAACAACATTTTACAAATTTCTACAAAAAAGCAACAATAGTCCATTTTAATTTGTGCGTATGTCTGAAACACTCATCATTTGTTAAAAAAAATAAATTTTGAGTTACAAAGTAAGGATAATTTCAATATTTAAAATTGCAAAATTACATGTAGAAATATTAACTTAAACATGAAAAACTTAGATGTAACACCATTAACGCGATTTAAATGATGACATATATCTACTGTTTTACTGGCCGACATATGGTCTACGTTCAGTCCATAAAAATTGACTGAATATATTGTTGTTTCCTTGTGCCATACAGCAGAAAATACTTATATTATTATAGCTTGTGACAATTTGTACCATAAAATTCATGGTTTGTTGTTTTCTTTTTGGGTTCAAAGTGTTAAGTACCGGGAACTAAGAGATGCACAGTATGTACTATACCATTTATACATGTATATACATACATATGTATCAATTAAACTTAATAATATTAGCGATTTTGAAAATGTTTCATATTTTTACAGCGTCTAGCTATATAATTATTATCGACATTAATAAAACATTTATAACGTTAAAATTCATTGTAAGATTACCTTTTCCTAGTAATAAATTAAGGCTTAATTATTATTTTTAAACATGTATGTATAACCTGGGACATAAGATAACTTGTCATATGTCCCAGGTATAACACATAACTGATGTTTTTATAAACTTTATTATACACAATGTTATCTCAGTCTATTTATATTGCTATTAAGCTGAACAGCATATGAATTATATTGACAGCCAATGCATTTTATAGTATCTAAACTCGATATATTTATCACATACCCGTGCCCGTAAAATGGCTTTGCACTGCTAAATGTTAGCAATACACATTATAGGCAATGAGAAATGATTTTTTGTTACTTTAAACATGTTTCGTTTTGCACATGTGATAAATAGAATATTAAATATATCTGTGTAGGTTCATTGGTGAATTTATTGAATTCGTTATAAAATAATATTATGCTTATTCAATAAATACTTACGCTCATTCAATATCCTCTATCTATATGTGTGCACAGTATATAGATTTGATAGCCTAGCTGTTGTTGTTGTTTTTACTTGTGTCAATAGGCTACAGTTTACTATTTATCTAAATTTAATCAATACTTTACTTACTGATTTATTGATTCTATGTATATTACCACACAAAACAGCAAATTTATATACGTGTTTTTGCATATATATTTTAGATAATAATGCCAAGACACGTATTTAAGGACGTCCCAGACGGTGACAACATCACTTATGACGTGGTCGATGAAGAAAATGGATACAGACAATGTACATTTGCATATCCATTTGAAGTACATCAGGAACTATTCAACAAGATACCGATTATAAAATGCAAAGATGGCGATAATTTTTTAGAATCTTATCCGAAAACAGGTACTTATGCAATCAAGTTGCGATTGACAACGGGCTTTTTACGGTGTTCCGTAAGGGCCTTGCCTAGAACGAAAGAAATTTGAAACGAGAAAAATCCGTTCATTGCTATCGATTTTTCGCGTTATTCATAGGCAGTGGCACGAACGGAACATCGTACATTTTTGAAATGTGACAGATCATTGGAGAATATTATATAGAAGTATATATCTAATGAAATATTTTTTTCAATTTGTTAACAGTAAAATAACATTGTTTCTCTCTTTAATCTAATAGATGATTCACGAAAGAGTAAAAACAGAGAATTTCAACGTTATTTCATAAAAGTGTACGTTTTAACAAAATAAAATGTCCCGGAACAAAATGTTATGTATTATTATGTATATTATTACTAGTTATAGTTTTTTAATTTATTATTTTGTGCATGTGTAATTTACTTTTAAGGAAATATGCTAACATAATTATTTGGAATTCTTTTATACAGAAATTTTGGAAGCATTCTCTTTCAAAGTTAAAATAGCAGCAGAGATCTAGCTTTATAAGTCACTTTAAAAGCAAAAAAAGTCCGCGGTTATTACCAGCGCTTATTCCCTGCTTCCAGATAGAATGTACATACCTCGTAGATACACATTTTATTTTATGTTCAAAGGAACTCATTGGCTATGGGAGATGATATATTTGGTGAAGAAAGGGACATGTGACATCACAGAAGTTCAAAAAGGTCAAAATATGATAGACGCCTCGCCAATCGAATACACCGAAAATTTGCCACAACCAAGGGTTCTGAATTCTCATTTGAAAGTCAAATACTTGCCAAAGGTAAACAATTATCGTATTAGAAAGTTCAGTAAGTTTTAAGGCAAATTTTGGGCCAACGGTCGGCCCGTACTGGCATGCGAGCAGTTCCCGTACAGAAGCAGTACCCGTATTTTTCATTTAAACGCTTGATTTTTACATGCATTCTTCAAAAATTCATTTCAAATCAAGCAGATACATAAACGAGACAAAATCTAAGTGTCAGTTCGGCAGTACGTATAAAAAGTCTCATTTTAAATCACTTTCACCTGTGCGTTGTCAAAACGTGACCTTGTTTTATCTGGGGGATTCCGTCCTTGCGCGCATGCGCAAACATACTTACGCGTGAGGCATGTTTAAGGGGTTTACACTAATACCACCTGTTTACAGATAAGAAGGCAATGTGATGAAAACTTGTTTAATTATCAGAATTTTGACCAATATTACTATATAAAATAATTTTATGGCTTTGATGCTTAAAATATCATGTATACAAGCATGCCATCGCATGTGAATGCGTTGGAGGGTAACGGTACCGGGTAATAGATACACTCGTTTAGTCTACTTTTTATTTCCTGAATTACATCTATATATATTTATCTCTTAGAAAATGGTCTGTTCAACAATTATAAATGAAAAATAGGTCCGATAAAATAAAATTGTATAATTATAATGGGTTAAATTTTATGTACGGGAACTACTTCTCTTCATACAAAATAATGGATAATTTCTGTACCCCATATGAGGCCTCATAACTAAGGGTTATTCTATGTTTAGAACATGATGGAATTTCCATGATTTGTGTGACGAGCCGAATATTGATATGTAACATTCAAATTTTGGTGAGTGAGCGTAAAAAAAAAATAATGTTTAAGTGACTACGATTTTTGTACGGGAACTGCTCGCATGCCAGTACCTGTCCAAAGAAAGCATATATATTTTCCATTATTTCTGTGGAAAATTCCCCTCCAAAAGTAAAAGATAAATATTTTAAGGTCTATTTTATCAGAAATAACAATTGTGAGACAGAATATGACATAAAAATAATGGCATTTTTCACAAGTTGAATTGAAAAAAAAAGAAAAGAAACGGACTGTTACATGTTTCGTACTGTCCCCCTTTTTCCCTCCGTCAGACAATTTCCCCCACTATTGGTCCTGCCAATCATTACATAGATAAATATTTTCAAGTGCTTATTTCAGTTATTTGTTTGTTTGTTGCTGTATGTTTGAAACTAAACTAAGTTCATCGATATAGAGGAGGTCGTAATTGAAAATTTGAAAAAAAATGTCTTTTACTCACAGGATGTTATAGAGAAAAAGTTGAAAATAGTATTATTGGTAAGAAATCCCAAGGACGTTGCTGTCTCGTTCTACAATCATACAAGAGGTCTATCATTTTATGACTACGACGGAAAGTTTGAGAACTTCTTGCAGATGTTCATGAGGGGTGAAGGTAAGGCGTTTATATCCATATGATATCTTATTGTTCTTTATACTGTTTGTAATTGTTCCATATACCGTTTGTAAATGTTCCTTATACTGTTTGTAATTGTTCCTTATACTGTTTGTTATTTTTCCATATACCGTTTGTAAATGTTCCTTATACTGTTTGTAATTGTTCCTTATACTGTTTGTTATTGTTCCAAATTATATTTGTAATTGTTCCATATTGTGTTTGAAATTGTTCCATATGTTGTTCCAAATTGTGTCTGTAATTGTTCCATTTGGTATTTGAAATTGTTCCATATGGTGTTTGTAATTGTTCCATATTGTATTTGTAATTGTTCCATATGGTGCTTTTAATTGTTCAATAATTTTGTGTTTGTAATTTTCCAAATGGTGTTTGAAGTTGTTCCAAATTGTGTTTGTAATTGTTCCATATGGTTTTGTAATTATTCCATATGGTATTTGTAATTGCTCCATATGGTGTTTGTAATTGCTCCATATATATGGTGTTTGTAATTGCTCCATAATTATGGTGTTTGTAATTACTCCATATAGTGTTTAAAATTGTTCCATAATGTTGTTTGTAATTTTTCCCATGATAATGGTGTTTGTAATTGTTCCAAATGGTGTTTGTAATTATATGGTGTTTGTAATTGTTCCAAATGGTGTTTGTAATTGTTCCATATTTTTGTAATTGCTGTTAAGAGGGTTTTTTTACAGTTGACTATGGTTCTTATCCCGAATATTTACGAGAATGGCAGACGTTTATGAAAGAAAATGCAGATGTTCCCATTCATCTGGTATATTACGAAAACCTGCATCAGGTAAACTTTATATTTAGCAACAAGAAAGCAGTATAAATTAATGGCATACATGTACACTGAGATATAAGAATCATTATAAATCCAAGATGTACATGATAATTTAAACATTTGAAAAAGTAAAATTTATTTTGTTAATTCTTTCAAAGTTTACTGAAATATTGTGACAGAGTTATGACGTATATTGATTGGATTCCTTGATAACCTTGCGCACGCGCTTATAACATTGCCTTATATAAACTCTCCAAGGCAATTCTAGACAGGTTCTTTGTACTGTGTATTAAAGATTGTGGAATAGATTGGGTTTTGTCGAAAATGATAAACAGATATACATAAACTATATATGTTATATGCCCTGACTGCAAAAAGAAGACAGGTTTCATAGGCCAAGAGCATATCTGTCCTACTTAACTGGACGGACAGAAGGCCAGATCACAATCTCCTGATTCTTATGAACATGCATCGAACTAAAGCAATGCAAGTTCCAAACATGCTGGTTTAAAGCAGCACACCTCCAGATTTATGCTTTTTTTTCATGAAAATTGAGAAAATGCATAGAAGAGTAAAATATTGTGAAGTGAACTAAGATAATAATTTCTACATTGCAAACAGCATTTCGTTACTTAGGCAGTATAAAAATAGTTAAAAATACTGCAAAATTAGTCATTAATCACACATAACATTGAAATTATTACTATAATCTTATTTTTTTTGATTTTCTTAAAATCCCAGTACTTTTTTTTCTCAAATTTGATTTTCTTGAAATATTTTGGTTCATCTGGAGGCGTGCAGCTTTAAAGTTAAAAAATAATGTTTATATCATTTCTACCAGATACTTTTATTTAGAGACTTGTATTACATATATTTAATTATTATACAGGTCCATGTTTTTATATTTGAACAGGATTGTCAAGGGGAGATGAAAAAGGTATGCAAGTTTCTTGGTAACGATGTAAGTGATGAAGACTTGCAACAAATCGTCTCAAACTGCCAAATTGATAAACTACGAAAGGGAAAGATGGACAAATTACCTGAAGAAATAAAAGTAAGAATGGGACAGATGACCAAGCATGACTTTTCCGTATTTAGAAAAGGTGAGGTTGTTTTATAGTTATTTCATGCAATTATTTTATATAATTTATAAGGAGTCTGGTTCCGTTATTTACATTAGTGTTATTGCAATGAACACTTTTAAGATCTAATCTAATGTGACTTTTCAAATTTCAACCGACAGCAGTGGCTTAATCTTTATTTAAATCAACAGACATAACATTAAACAAATTATTTCAATGTTTGTCCTTTGTGACTGAGGGGTTGTCTTTAATTGTTGAAGCTTAGGAATTGCAGCCACCGTCTACCCTGTGCGGTCGTAAGAGGCGACTAAATGGGTTCGAATTACTGAAGTCTATGTATCTATTATCTCCAGTAAGTGTGGTGGTTTTGACCTCCTTAAGTTGCTTTGAAGTTTGTAACACCCGAGGTAAATCAAAATGGTATTTCCTGTTTCGGTGCCATATGACCTATACTGTGTTAGTGTGCCGTAAAACCAACGAAACAAACTTTTTTGTATCAATATATTACATATTGTTATGGTTTAAAATTCCATAAAATCTCGCAACATATTAAATGCAATTAACGACCTCGAAAACTGTTATTTGCTTATTCAAGGTAAGATAGGAGATTGGCGGAACTGGTTTACAGTAGCACAGAATGAGGCGTTTGACAAATGGTGGGAACAAGAAACAAGGGACATCACTATGTTTTCATTTAAATATCGCTGAAATCAAGGGACGTAACTTTGTTTATTAAACAGTTAAGACATTTAACAAATGGTGTGAATAAAAAAACAAGTTGTATAACTATATCTTCTTTTAAATATTGTATAATTAGAACAGACCTTTTGACAAATGGTGTAACTTAAGTCAAGGGACGTTACTATGCTTTCACTTAAATATTTCTTCTGAATTACATGTTGAATTAAGTCAGTTGTGTACGTAAAAATGAACATATGGTAAATTGACATAATTTTGTTTATTACTACTCATTATAATTTATTATAGACAGGTATCATTAAAACTATAATCTGTTTATACAACAGATGACAGTATACATTTCTGTGCTTCATGCAAAGGGCAAGTAACTCGTTTTTAAAGGAATCATTTCCATTCTGTTTAAAAGGATTGATCATACAATTAAGTACAATGATTTATGTTGATTCTACTTAAAGAATGCTTTGTAATACATATATCATTTATTCTGTGAATATTACACCTTTATATGTACTCAGAAGTTATAGATTATCCTCATTTCATATATTCTTTGTATATTATATACATGTACCTTTATATGTCGTAGAAGTTAAAGATTATCTTTATTTCTATAAAAATAAAACTGTCATGTTTTATTATACGAGTGTCTTCTTTCCTCGAATGTCACCAGTGCTGTTGAGATTCAGGTTTACAACCAAAGTGGTTCAAATATTCTTGCATATCTCATTACAATTGAGCTTTGAGCCTGTCTGGAACCCAACAGTGGCTAGCCTTTACTCAGACCAGCCTGTTAAAGATTGAAGGCCAGAAATATATGTACAAGACATAAATAAAGTAAATGTGACCTTAGTCTGCTGGTGGCAGTTGCATCTACCTATGCGATCAATGCAGATCAAGATTATCTGTGATAACCATCATGGTCTGCACTGTTAAGACAGCATTTATGGTGAAGTTTTCCCTAAAAACAAGGAACTGTTTTGATGGACGAGTCCATAAAAGATGTATAGTGGTGTATGTGTTAAGGTTTTACACTATCAAAATACATGTGCTATAATGAAGCAGCCGATAGTAAAGAGCTTGGTCAGTCTACATATTCACCAATTTTAATTTTGTTGTCTTATCCTGGCGCTGGGTCTCACTTACAGGCTTTCCTGGATAACTTAAAGGGACTCCACAGAGAATTCTTGACATGAGGGAACTTGAACTAATTTTTCAGGATCTATGTTCCGTTTAATGTAAGTTTTGACCAAAAACTTTAATTCAAACTTTCAGATCATTCACTTACTCTGTTTTTCCAGAGTAGTTTTTCTAATCAAGAAAAATGACCCAAAATTTGCAATGCTTTTCACACAAATTGGGCTACAAATTTCACAAAAATACAATTATTTACATATTTTTGAGTATATTTCTTGATAATCTTATGGATATCTTTCTGTTGTAAATTGTCACACTTGTTCTATGTAAAAATTCCAATGTTATGTTTTTATGCTTTTGAACCGCAGTTGAGTTCCTTAAAGAAAGAAAGCGACACTTTGCAAACTTTCAGCAGCCTCTCAAAAATTGGCATGTAAAACGTTGACCAATTACAAATCCCACATGTTTAATAAATCAGTAGTGAGAGACAAATGACTGTAAGACTCAATATGGAAGATCAACTGTGATGGAGAATTTTGCCTTGCCCAATGCTTGAACCTGCGACCAATAGATTATAAAACCCGATGCTCTCCCTTTGCAGCTTAGCGGGCAACTCTGATTTTTCTCGAAATTAACAGAACGAAAGAAGAACAAATACCACAAATGTAAAGTTTATTGAGATTTCCTCATCATATAAAAGTACAGAAAAATAATAACAAAATACATGTAACCAGATCAATAATAAAATATTCACATCAATTATCATCAATTCTATTTTCTCAAAATTTGCCTCAATCCATATCTCTGAAAAGCTACGGGTCTTATCAAAATTTCTGCTTTTGCTAGATTGTTGAAAAGCAACTGGTCGCGTTGTAAAACAAGAGGGCCAAGATGGCCCTAGATCGCTCACCTGACCCATCAAACTTATCCGAGCAATTACTTAGACCAAATTAGGTGACAATTGAGTAAAAATTGTGACCTATAGAGTGTTCACATGATTTATCCATATTTTGGCAGTGTGACCTAGTTTTTGACTCCAGGTGACCCATATTTGAACTTGACCTGGAAATCATCAAAACAAACTTGCAGACCAATTTCAAGGATAGTAGCCACCCTAAGGACAACAAAGACCACCCTAAGGAGAGACTGAATATGACCTTTATAGACAGGTGGTCTTTATTTGGAAGTTACTCTGTTCTAATAAATCAATGGAGAGTTGTCGCAAATGGCCTACATTTACAGGATGGTCATAATTTGTAGATGGTCTTTACTGGAGGTTAGACTGTATACATTTAAAGTACAGCAAAACAAAACAGATTTCAAATTTAAATCATTATGTCATATAAAAATATTAGTAATAATGAGCAGTGAAAAGTTAAAGACGTTTTAAGGTGTAGTGCTATTTTTTATAAAGGCAAAGGAAAATTTAATTTAGCCACAGCTTTAATTAAAATTCAAGAGGATGTTTTCTTAAAGAGTATCCTGATTTATTCAAATTGTTGAAAAAAAATTGGGAGGCATCATTCTACTATTTAAGTCATCTGACTGTGAAATTGAGTTTTTTGCTCTTTTAGGTCAGGTCACTTTCCTTCTTTGCCTTTGTAAAAACTTGTACAAATACTTGAAACATTTTTTAACAAAACACTTCACATGTTCATCAAAGGAAAATGGATAAAAAAAATACCCTGATTTGGATTGCAAAGACTGCATAAATAAACTCAAAGATTATGAATTTGCATGAATGAGAATAGTATAGAAATCAAATAATAACCACAGAAAGTAGCCATGCAACATTTATATATAAATCATTAATCTTGACCTATATCCCCTTTTTCAGAATGTTAATGGCACATTATGTCAATGAAACTAATATTTTTTCTCCCCTTAGAAAATAATGGTTTTGAGAATGTTAGATGCTTATCACATAAAGAAAATAGAGTGTGAATGTGTGATTATTTTTCACAAAACTTGAAAAGTAGCAAAAATGTAAACAAAGAAGTATTTTGACTTTCATTCAAAATACTAATTACCATATTTAAACTAATTACCAGATAGCAACGGAAGCAAAAGATGGTTCAGGTACTTGGCCAATGTGTAATTTTTGAAACCATAACACTTGCCCCTGACACACTTAAAAAAAAGAAGTTTTTGAAAAAATTAAAATAAATTTCTTAGGCATCATGAGCCTTTAAAATAATGCAAATAATAAGACAGTAAAAACTATTCTAAAATATTACTCCCGTATTCTGACTTCTGAACTTAATTAAACTCTAAAAAAATAAAATTATTCAAAAGCAATTTTTCAAACAAAAAGATCAAAAACAAATTATTTCTTAACAGAGAACCATTAACCTTTTTGCTATCAAAAAAAAAAAAAACACTTCATGTTTCCTTCACTTGAAGCATTATATCAAGCAGAGAACTATTCAAATTTCTGTTTTCAAGCAGACAACCAAATTTCATCTTCAAGCAGTAAACCAGACAAATTTCTTCTTCAAGCAGAGAACCAGACAAATTTCTTCTTCAAGCAGGGAACCAGATGAATTTCTTTTTCAAGCAGAGAACCAGACAAATTTTTTTCTTCAAGCAGACAACCAGACAAATTTCTTTTTCAAGCAGAGAACCAGACAAATTTCTTCTTCAAGCAGAGAACCAGTCATTCCACTGCCAATTATCAGCACAATATAATCTCCAAATATAGAAACTGTTCAACACAATGACTTGAAACATCCTGCCGAAGAGAATATCTTCTGGTAAAAGTGAGTCTAACCATGCTGGTAATACTGATACGCCATTACACTGGTAATACAGTCTCGTGGTAAACTGAGTTATCATAAATATCATGGAACATTTCACAATAAACGGAGATTTAAAGGGTGATAACTCTGTCTGCAATTCTTCTAAATAGGACTCCTCTGTCTGAAATTTGATGAAATATTTTTGAAAATTTTATTATTAATATAAAAAAAACATCTATTCTCATATCACAGTAATAAAAACGTTATTGTTAAATGCTAATCATGCTCAGATATTTCTAACTACAATGTAAATATACTCAATGAAGTTATAAACACTCTGTTTCATTTGTCATTTGATGCCAATGTTTATTAAATTAATTATCAGTAAACAAGTTGTCAATCAATTATCAATATCTATTTAAAATCTCTGGATATTCTTATCAAAGGGCAATAACTCCTCATCAAGGCAATTACTCTTAAATATTTTTACTAAAGTAGACATTACCAGTCAAATCTCCCAAAAGTGGTAAACTTTTTTATCAAAATCTCGGACAAAGCATATAAAAAAGTCATAATCTGGACAAGTTCACTATAACCTGAGCTTTACTGTACGTAGTTAAAAACGTACCTCTAATTCAAAGTTTTTCATAATTCTCCCGATAAGGAAAAGTATACTGTACAGACGGACGCCCAACAACAACAAGAATAGTGGACTAAGGAATCTCTTTAGGTAGAGTATAGCAACCTGAGCATTCTCTGAAATAGATAAGAAAAGAAAATATGCATTATACCATGTGATTATCATGCATTGGTTTTAATCATTTTGGTGAAAGGTGGAGGGGCCTATCAGATGGAAAAATATGTGTGGTTATCAGCATTTTTTGGGAGTGGGCCAAATCAAAATCATCAAGGTTTGAAACAATCTTTAATAACCAATACAATTTCGAAATAATAAAAAAAATTAGGACAACTCCCCTGCATATATCCATACTGTTTTTCGTCAGTTTAAATCACTCCAAAACATTTAAGTAGTTTCCATTACTTTTTAAAATGTTGAGGGGATTAAAATTGTTCTATTAAATGGAAAATTTATAATTTTCAGGTGGGGAAAGAGGCCCAATTTCAGCCAAAATTGACCTTAAAAAAGTCACTGTCTACGTCTGCACTGTTCACCATTCAGTTGATACATATTTTAAAATTTCCCCTAAAATGATAAATGGTTTTGTCTAGATTGAAAGAATTGGACAAGTCTATTTATGATAATAGGAATAGTAATGATTTAACAAATCTGGGAAGATGATATAAAGCCTGTCTTTACTGCATTTCTCAGATAAGTTTAAAATTTACAGTATATGAAATAGTAAGGAATGGAAGATCCTATTAATCTTGACTATGAAACTCGAAAAAATGCCTGAAAAGTTAAAATCACCATTTGACAGCCCATCAATTAAACACAATAAAAAGCTTACCTATAGAAGTGTGTATGATTTTGTAAGTCTCAGTTAGCATAGAGCCTCTGCTGTAAAAACTGAAAAATATAAAAAATTGAAAATTATTCTGCCATTTTTTTAAGTAACTTTAGAAGTCATTTTAGGCAAGTACCAACCTCTGAAATTTACAAAAATCATTCTTTCAATTTTAGAACATGTACTTTGGTATGATTTTTATCAAGATACAATCATATCAACTGAAAAAGGCCAGGAATGACACTAGTTTGTTTTCACATCATACAACTTTATGCCCTAAATAAAAAATTGTCATTAAAAAGAAATGACACCAGATTTTCACAAAATCTGGTATTTCTGCCAATATTTTCATGTGCGAGGGAAAAAAAGAACAACAAAGGGCCATAATTCTGCAAGAAATTTTCAAATCACGCAACGCCAACAATATAAACCAAGGCACTTGGTGAAAATAGTTCTGTAAAAATGCTATTGAAATTTTTGAGAAATGTATGACAAGTTTGGCACACATCAGGAGAAATTGTTCATGCCCACTAATCTATTATTTTTTTTTAAACAAAACATTTTTTTCTTGAGATTATCTGGTTAACAAATGTCTCCCTTTTCCAGTTATTTGGAAGAATATGCGACATTTAAGGAAATTTGAGAAATATCAAACTATTTAAAAACTATTTTAGTTTTATTGAAATTTCATGTGTTTGATTATTCAGTATTACCTGTTCCTTCTTTTAACAAGTCAAAAAGCAATTCAGTTGTTCTTAAAGAATTGAACAGAATAATATTTAAGGCAGCTGTAGGGAATACTTCTTTGTAATTGGGAAAAGAGAGATTATTTTAGATTGGGAATGGGGCCTTATGGGGCCGCTGGTGATAGGGAGAAAATGCCCTGAGAAAATACTATCAAATTCTTACCTGTACCATGAGGAAGGTGTAGCTAGTGGTTTGTGTTTTAGTGAAACTTCTTCTTTCATTGTGTATAATATTACCATAGATGCTAGTGTCACAAATGCTACATCACTTATTATACCTGAAAATATTTTAATACAAAGCTTATCATTGACATTCCAGATAGAAATTTTTCTACATAAACCATCAAATAGGAGACCGCAGGAAAATTTGAGTAGAGTAAACCCTAATATACACAATTTATTGTATAACTTCTTGATTTCAAGCAGTCTTGTGTGAGCCATTCACAAGCAAATGACAGTGTTTCAGGCATTTTCCTTTTTTAACACGAAAATTTTATTCCAATCCAATAAATGGACATTTATATCTATGTAATAATTACAAAATTGTCAATTATATTTCACTAAGGTAAGACCTGCGTCTGTGTATACTTAAGGCAATGATCATGATTGGAGGATGAAAAACTCACAGTCATTTAGCATTAACATTTCTGTCACACAGTGTGATAACCACTGTAGCCTTGACCTTTGGACAATCAAATTTCAAAACTCAGTACTTGCCAACTACTGCAAGTCACTAGGTTAATCTCTGTACCACCTTCCAACAAGCCATTCTCTATATTCACACCAACCCCCAAATAGGCAAATAAATTGTGTGCAAATTTTTTTCACTCCATTTTTCAAAAATTGTTATTCTATTTGTGAAAAATGACCAAAAATACCAAAGCGCCAAATCGGTCTATGAAAAGCACAAAAATGAAATTTTTACTTTATTTCTTAGTATATTTCTTTATTATCTTTTGCATATCTTTCAGCGTTACTTATTCCAGCAAATCTGTGGAGGCAATTCATATTTTATGTTCTAAGGCTGTTGGACCTCAGTGGTGCTCCTTTAAACAAATAACATCCTACCTTCAACAGACATCCACATCATATTGTGAGCTGCTAACATAAAACTAAAGCACAACACTAATACCACAACCCTGTAAGAACACAACACATGCAATCAAATTAAAATATTGTCCTATAATTTAAAAGATCTACACACAAAAATAAAGAAAATATTTGAAAGAATAACACATGCAATCAAATGAGAGAAAAAATGGAAATAAATTCTATTTTACAGATTCAGCCACTGACTAACTTATTTAGCATATACTGCTACTGTACCTTTAAAAAATTTGCCATAGGCACCACACACAGTGCACATGATTTTCAAAGATTGAAGAAAAATTTGATGTTAAAGGGGTAGGGGAACTGGAAAGGGGAGGGGGTGGGGTGAAGTGGGAGAGGTAATAGTCAATTTGCTTAAGGGAGATATAATATAGTCAATTTGCTTAAAGTTTGTAAAAATATTTTTTTATTGCCTATGGTCTGAAATATTATTTTTATATTGTGATTGAAATGGTAATGTAACACCTAGAATAAAAAATATCTATCCATATATATTTTATTGAAAGTGAGTAGGGCATGTGTGAAATCATTGCAAAAGCTTTTAAAAAGAGGAAAAGAATATTTTGTTCCAGAACATTTTAGTCCGTTTAGGTATAATAAATTACACAGACAATCTATATGACAAATATTTAAAGAAGCAACCATAAGTGTTATGAAAACAACATAATTTTACTTTTTTTAAATTTTTCATATAATATTTCATCAGATATAGCTTTAAACACATTTAACATAAAGCAACAAAGTAAAAAAAAATGGTACAATAATGTATATTATTTTTAAAATAACACATGCATTCAAAATAGTATAATAAATCTGAGGCTCACCAGAACTGTATATCGGAGCCTTGTTGGTACACATGTACCACTATAATAGCTAAAATAGCATAGCATGCTGCTGAAAATACTGACAACAACACCTGTAATGATAAAAAACAGCAATATTTATATAAGTATTAAAGTAGCATAATATTTTATACTTATAATATATACATGTATGTAATTCATGGCTTGCCTATAGTGCAGGATAAAATAACTACACATGTATTTTGGAGTCTCTAATAATAGTAATTGTATATCTTATAACAAAGTCATATCAACAAAGTGAAAATAACACTCATAATATGAAATTCTAAATTCAAAATGTGCATTACATGTATTACATTGTCTTATTGAAAAATAGATGTGGAAAAATTAACCTTGTTGTATGACATGCTTTAAACGACAATCAGGCTTCATTATTAAGGCATTGATTAATGTACATTATTCTAACCTACAATACAATATAACTAGTAAAAGAAAAAAATAAACTAGTGCACAAAAACTGTTACCAAAAATCTGGATGGGTAATTTGTAAGACAGAATTCTATTTTGCCAAATTCATGACCAAAACTTGGTCACATATTTTTTCCTAAAATTCTCAGACTTCTAAAAATTCAAGATTCATTAATATGATCTTCTGACATTTTGTCAGGAGACTCTCGGAGTTAATGGTAAAATGGAAGCAAAATCCATAGCCCAAATCATTTGACATGCATTTTAAGCAAAAAAACTGGCGACTTTCCAATTTAATGTTTAGGAAATAAAATTCTTGATTAAAAAAAAACAGGTACGGCAAATACAAAAAGAAGTAAAGATATTTGTTAATTGTAATGTACTGTGCAACCTCGTCAGAATGGTCCACTGTATAGAGCAATAACCTCTTCTCAGCAACTGTATCAATGCTTCCAAATATAAGACTTGACATAGAATTAACTTCAATAGAGCAACACCTTTCAGAGAAATTTCTTTGTTAAGGGCCTTTTTCAGGCTGTAATGTATTTCACTATTTTAGCGCATAAAATATGTTATGTAAAATATGATACATAGAATATGATACCTTCCATTTCCACGCCTCCTCTTCGTCTTCTTCAATATTTTCTGCACATCTTCTACTACAGTGCATGACAAAGTTCAGGGCCAATATCACCTCTACAGCTAACAAGACTGGATCAGATAACCATAATATCTTATCGTACAGCCAAATTATCGGATATGGTATCGAGCCGAGTGGTAGATAAATAACAATTAAACCAAACGCCAAAAGGTTTAGGTATGGTATGACATAATGCTGAAAATAGAAAATAAAATTTAATATTTAAGTTAAATGTAAAATGATACTGGACAAATATCTTCATAAATATTTTAATCAATAAAAGTTATTAAAACTATCTTTATGTATATATGATAATTAATAAAGGTACACTGTACATGTAAGCTCATAATATGGAATCAGATTGGCTGATGTTTTTAATATCCTAACCAGGGTTTTCTCTTATGCAAGATTCCTGAGTCTTTAAGCATAAAATCGGCACCGGAACTATTATTATATATATTATAACATTATATATAAAGCGATGTGTCCTTTACTACTACTAATATTTATGGTTTCAATACTTGCCTGTTTATGATCTGCTATGTTAATTGTTAACTTGTATGAAAATATTAACATTAACCTTTTAACAACTTATTGGAGTTTCACTGTATCAGTGGTTCAGGTGCCTTTAAAAACTTTGCACATAATTTAAGAAACTGGACAAAAGCATTGTGTTAACTTTAAATCCAATCAGGCACACAATGACTAGCCCAATAAATTGTGTGCTTTAGGACTTTATGGTAACAGTGAAAGGTAAACCTCATGTGGTGAATAGACGTCTTTGTGTAACACAATGACTAGCCAATAAATTGTGCGCTTTAGGACTTTTTATTATGTATCTATTTAGTTATGGTTTCCAAAACTTTATAAGCCGCTTTTTAACATTTTTGTTTTTCATCTGATGCTGCATAGTACATGTCATGTCATTCCTATATAAACTGGTACACTGAAGACCTGACCTTAAGCTAATATCTATCACTAATGTCAAACACCTCATGGGTACGTAGACATGTAAACAAGAAGACATATAGACTTTGGTCGCCCGTTACATCTGTGTAATTTTAGATTGAATATAATTGGTCGTTCTTGCAGTCAAAATATTGAGACTACAAATGTACATTGCAGAGTAATGTATGTAATTTAATAAATGTAATGTACCATTAAAGATTCTCGGCATCATTTCAAATATTTAAATATAAATTTACCAAATTATTCTACATAATTATACTATTGCAAATTTTGCATAGTTATTTATACCATGAAAATCACACCTGCTATATCTGAAACAATTAAAATTATTACCAATGATTTAGGAATTATTGCACTGACGCTTGTATACAAGAAAATCAGCAGTGAAAGTCGAAGAATCACATCAATTCCTTCAAAAGAACCGAAAAATGGTATAGTGACAAGGCATATGTAAGGCAGGAATTCAATAAAACATCCAAAAAGTGACATGCATGGCAAACACATCTTGATTTGTTTACATTAACCGGCATCTCACTTCCGCATTGAATTGTTCGCAGTTGGTGATTTTTAAAGCGTCTTAAAAACGGTGATCACGCTGCCGCACGCTATAGGATTTTGCAAAAATGCAAACGTCTAAAGACAATGAATTTTATACCAGTCTGAATTCAAGATGTCTGCGCCCATTATGTTGAAATATCAGATTTTCTAAATAATGAATTTATTTCGTCATGTTGAAAATACGCTGAATTAATTAAAGATTTGAAATAGAACATAATAAGGGTAAGAAATAAGGCTCAGAAATGAATGAACATTTTATAAACTATGGAGAAGTGCTTGCTACAGAAGTGTGCAATGGAAATAGTGAAGGGTTTGCAAATTCTCTGACTGTATGGTTAAATAAACCACACGTTGTGAATAGACGTCTTTGTGGTTCTAGACTAGAATACTTTAAGATTATTTCAAAGGACACATTTTGCAGACATGAATTAAAATCTGCTTTTGAAAATCTTAGTTTAGACTTGCACGGATTCTCATTTGATGAGGTGTTTAATTCACAGAATATATCTGGGGGTGAACTTGCCATTGAACATGACATTAAAGAAAATACAAGTGATTGTGTTGAAGGTCTTTCAGATATATCAGAAGATGATGTTGCTGTTATTATCCGTCAACTGTTGCCAAAACAACCAGAAAGGCACGCTAATATTCCAGAATTAGTAATTTATGGTAAGTGTTAATAGATCTAGATAGCCAAATATTTTCAGTTTGAATGGTTGGACCTATGTTTCAAACATTTTTTTTTCTTACAGTGAAACTGTTTCGACTTGCATTGGAAATAGACAATTACCCATTAAGATAATTTTGGACGAGCGAAGTTGTTTAAAAAATGTAGCACCTAAACCATGGACAAAAGGTATTTTAAGTCCCGGCACCAACAGTACTATTACGCCAGCTCTTTAGCTTTAATGTTAGATCAGACGACCTCAGGTACATGTACCGAAACATGCACTATTTCAGACACAAACAGGCACCCGAGTGAAAAAATGATGTCCATAGTTGGATAGCTTACCTTCATGAAATGTTTTGATCCCCAAATAACTTTAGTTTACTCCGAAGAACAAATTATTTAATTTAATAACATAACCTTGAAATTTATATTATTTAAAAGGATTTATAGATATCCCTTCTTCTCTTCCCCTTGCCAAGGCTTGGTATGCGTCTGACTCTGAGAGGCACAGGTCATCTGCAGAAAGAACACCGACTGACTACTCACTAGTTAGGATAAAGAACTTTGTTTCTTTTAACATATAGAAGGCAGATCCTATAGTGGCTCAACAGACTAGGAAGGGATGATAAGGAAGGCTACTAGGTTGCATGAGCTCAAAATACAATAAGACTGCTTGAACGGCAGTGCCCTATGGAGCTCATTCCCTGCTGTATAGTGACCTTCATGTAGTGATGTACTTTCAGCCAAAAAATTATATCTTGGCTTATACCCTGCATGGTTATTGCAGGGAGGTTAATTACTGTATCAACACTTTATGCTTTAAATTAAAAAAAAAAAATTTAAGAGCATAACTGGTGACATGTTTGGTGTTCGTACTTGATAGCAAAACCTACTAGGGTCTGTCTAACTAAATATAATTTTATTTTAAACACCCTGCTTGCACTTTTTCTGTTGTAAATTTTATACAGCATATTTAAGTCAATTATATTCTTCTTATTTTAGATAAATCTCAGAACAGTTGTTCTTTCATCCCCTTGAAAAGATTAGATGATTCCAAAAAGATTGTACCATTGGAAGTTGGATATTGCTTTAAATATCTAGAAAGTCCTGAGAAAAGGTAACTGTAGTTTTTCATGTTCAGAATGTTTATAATGGCACTATCCAGAGGAGTGTATAATAAGTTTTTTAATTTGATTTAATAAAGGATTTGATCATGAATATTATGAAAATACACATGTACATATGTGACAGAATTTGATGAACTCATAGAATGATTTTCTCTTAGCCTGAAAGGCCCATTTATCCTAAGAATTTTTTTATTCTTTCCTGTAAAAAGGGCCTACAGGTTTTTCATTATGTTGTGATTGTAAATTTGAAAAGCAGCATCTATCACCCGAAATAAGTCACATCAAATGTGAAATAATACCGGATATACATTGAAGGTAGCAAAATCTGAAAGTTGTATTTTGACTTACAAACATTCTATCTTTCATACTTTTTGGCTATTTGAGAAACTGTATCAGGTCACCAACAATAAAAAATTAATGCTTTTGAAAAATGAAAGTATCATCTTTTTTAAGTTTAATGGACCTTTAATATATTTATTGTATTTTAATCATTTCTTATAAGGAACCTTTTATACTGTCAACATTTCAATAAACATGACTATATTCTTTGGTAAACTATAATGAATTTTCATTTATTTTCATAACAAAATTTATTTATATATAAATCTCATTTTAGGATTTGCCTGTATGCCAGTACTTCAGACTGCTCTACAGATTCTGAAAGAAAGCTCTCATTGACCTGGATTAAAAGTCAGCTTCTACAGAAGCTTGCAAGATGGAGTGAACAGCCAAGTCTGAGAACAGGCCTTGTTTCTCTGCGTCTGATCTCTGTAGAGAACTATAGCAGACTGTACAGTGAACTGAAAAACAAATATGGCATCCCCATTGCAGAGGTTTTTGTTGTCTTTTATACTCTGTTCTGTTCATAGTCTAAGTTTGTAGCTTACATGCAAACTTTTGTAATAGAAAGTATAGTTCTGAACTCTTCAAAGTCTAAGGTTCTAGTTTGCACAGTAGTTTTGCTAATTGAATGTTCACAAAATATGTGTTTGATACCTAAAAAATATCCAGAGTCATAAATTAATTCTAAATCCATTCCCATGACATTATATACTAATATAAAGTCAATTCCTATCACTCTATATACTAATATGAATACTTTATATTAGTATAGGGTGTAATGCCAATAAATGGGAATGGACTTGAAGTAATTTGTGACTTTTGATAAATGTTTTCTGCTATCAAACACCAATTTTGTGAACATTCAATGATCGGTACTCCTGTGCTAGTTTGCATATAAAATTTTGCTATAAATAGTAGAGAGTTTTAAAGGTACATAAAGGCTTCATAAATGAATAAATCTTCTATTTTGTACAAATGCAAATGTGCAATTTATAATATTGTTATAATTTTTTTTTTTTATTATAATATTGTTATAATATTATAACAGATGCACAAACAATGTAACTTTCTTACAAGCAAGCATTGTGTACTATCTGTTACTGAAGCAGTTATATATTCATTCTGAAGGCTATGAATTTTTGCAATACCTTTAGCTTTATAAGAGAAAAATTTGCATGATTTATAAGTAAATCTTTATCGGAGTGGTACAATGTATGTCTGTAGGATAAAGTCTGTAGTATGAATAATATAATAACTTATACTTGATTTTCAGAAATGGCCAGAAAAGACTAGTGCTCAGAAGTATGTGTTTGAAGATGTTGCCATAGCAACCTATTTACTGGTAAGATAAGTACAAATGGTGTTGGCCAACTAAATTCCCATCTTTATATATTTCAAAGTAAATCAGTCACACTTGAGGCAAATTCCCTGTTGAGTAATATACTGTATGCAACTTCAACACTTTCCAAGTCAAATTACAAATAAGGCCCACAATATTTTATGTAAGAATGAGTGGCAGGCATCCTAGTTAAGCTTATATCTACACAATGCAACTTTGTTCTAATTATGATATTATCTCTAAAAGTAAGAGTTGATTAATTTTTTGTTGCTACAGAAATGCTGACAAACAGTTACAATGTCAGTTACGTGACCATATCTTTCAGCATGATTTTCCATGTTGTTAAATGTATATGAAAAAATAATTTTCACCTATAAAGTAACTCTTCATTTTAATTCATAACAGTAATTCATCAAAATCTAGACACTGTTTTATACAAACAATATTATGGTGTTTAACATATTTTATAGCTACTATGGGAAGATGACAGGAAAAAGAAGGGACTTACAAAGAAACAATCCTTTGTAGATTTAGGGTGTGGTAATGGTTTACTTGTACATATACTAGCCTCAGAAGGGGTAAGAAATTTGTTTGCATTTAATTTATTATCATTGATTTTAAGCCTATTTGAGGACAGACTATTTCTTCATTAGTTTTAGCTTAAATGAGGTCAAATAGTAAGAGTATTTGTAAAACTGTAAATTGTCCATGGCCGAGTGGTTAGAGTCGATGACTTAAAATTATTTGCTGCTTATTGTTCAGATTTCTAATCTCACGAGAAACCTGATAACTAAACAATAACAAACAGGTGATTTTAAGTCATCAGTCTTAACCACTCTGTAAAATCTCATCCCAGTGCACAAGAATCGGTTCTCTGAATTTCTTATTTTTTGAGTTATTGCCCTTTGTTAATTTTCATACTTTATTTTTGTCCAAGCCATTTCTTATAAATTATAAAAGCTTAATAGGATGATAGATCTTATTGATAAGAAGTGCAGTGCACAGAAACTGCTGCTCTGCATTTCTTATTTTTTGAGTTATTGCCTATTGCTAATTTTCATATTTCATTTTTGTCCGTGCCATTTCTCCTAAACTATTTTGTTCACAAGGCGACACATCCGACTCGCGGAGTTCTAGTATAACATGAGTTTTTAAGTTTGTTAATCAGATGATATTGTGTTGTTCTTACAGCATCCTGGCTATGGTATAGATGTCAGGAAAAGAAATATTTGGGATTTATATGGAACAGAGACCATACTTAAAGTAAGTACATGTATTGTAACTATTGTAGTTTCTCCTAATTTCTACATTTAACATGCAATGACTCTAGGGACAGCTTTAAACAATACTATGAAAGCAAGAAAACTTGTCATTAATTTGTAAATTTACAATGTAAATCTAACAGCTAAATACATATACATTTTTTTGTAAATGGATTGTAATTTAAAATTGTGTAAGTTTTATTTGAATGTATATAAAGGTAGCAGTTACATGTAATTGAGATTTCTCAGATTAAGGGGCCTTAGATGTAAACTACATGAAAATTTTTTTGGGAAAAAATCTCAAATTTTATGCAAGTTCTTGTCCATTATTCATTTTGAGAAGCTGGCAGTGACCTTAGACAATATGTGAAAGTACTAGCCCAAAATCAAATTACACTTGGAAGGCACTGCCAACAAGTTAATTACTGAAATTTTGATTAATTTGTACTACAGACAACAAGCAATAAATACCTTGTCAATGTAAACATTAGATATATTTTAAAGGAAATGACAATAACTCCGTCCACGGAGAGTGTGTATCCGGAAAGTGACTGGTTGATTGGTAACCATAGTGATGAGTTGACACCTTGGATACCTGTAATGGCTGCAAGGTTTGATATTTATTTTATACATGTTTTGGTAATCTGTCATTTTAATAAAGCATTTGTATTTCTTAAGCTGAATTTAAAAGACGAAGCATTTGTATTTTTTTTTGTATAAAAGATAAAACGTAAAATATAATTTATCACATAAACCGCGGCGCAGGAGTGTAATAAAGCCATTTAATAAAAAACGATATTATTCTAAACAATATTACACTAGTGTAATAACACTTTGACGTTATGTCATAAGCTCTATAAACATAGCGTTAAAACGCGCTAATGTTAGCATTACACTATAGGCGCGTTAGTGAAAAATGACTCTTTTTAACAGTTTACCGTTCTTATTTTATATAAGTGATAAATAGAATATTATATTTGTGTAGATTCAATACTAAATCTATTGAACTTGTTGAATAAAACAACATTATGCTCGCCAGAGGCTTACATAATATGATTTTATTCAATTTGTTCAATAAATTTAGTATTAAACCTACACTCATTCAATATCCACTATGTACAAAACATTGTATACTACATTGAAAGGATGCCCCTCACCGCTGTGGGTTCTAATCCCGACAAGGACTTTGGATTCTTCCATGTGAGGAAGCTATCCAGCTAGCTTACGGAACGTCTGTGGTTCTACTCAGGTGCCCGTTCGTGCCTGAAATAATGCACGGAAGGGCACCTGAGGTCTTCCTCCACCAGTAAAAGCTGGAACGTCGCGATATGACATATACTGTGTCGATGTGGCGTAAAACCCAAAAAACAAACAAACAAACATTGAAAGGACCTTTTTTTAGTTGAGTGGTTTAGTTGGCTGATTTAGAATCTTTAGTCCCCAGTTGGTTCTAGCAACTGATTCAAGATTGCTTATAGCTAGTTGGAACTAAAATAAATTTGTATAAACTAAACTATGTTGCCATGCCTTAAAAATATTTATAAAACTTTTCTTTATTTACAGATCAGCGTATACATGTAATTATTTTGTGTTACCATGCTGCATGTGGGATTTCAACACAAAGTACAGCTTTACACAGAAGGTGGCAAATGGTTCAGAAAATTCTGGTAAATACAGGTTATATCTGGATTTTGTGAAGTCTGTAGGAGAGAATTGTGGGTTTGAAGTTGAAGAGGATATGCTACGAATTCCATCAACTAAACGGGTATGCCAGCATTTGTTTGTTTTGAGTTTTGCCATTGTTACAGTAATTCTTTTAATATTAATAAAACACACTAAGACATGGAAGGAAAAAATGAGGTCTTTTTCTCTTTGCTGTATTTATGTTATGTTTATTACATCTGACATCACTCAGATATTTGTCACATGTCTTATCGCAGGGGATTCCATTACCCATGGACAAGATTATTAATTTACATGTGACTGCTATATGTTTTCACAAAGCTGCTTATCATTGTTT